TTCCACTTTGTGGAAAATCAGACATATATCATCGGCGAAGTCCAGATCCTCCAAGATTTTTGTCAAGATTTTTGATCCAAGCTTAAACTCAAGAAAGTTAAGAATGCATGCTTTTGTTTACGTGCCTATTGATACTAGTCCACAGAGCCTACAAGTAGATGCGAACTAGTCACAACCCCCTATGAATATCGGGACCTGCATGGTTGCGTGCTGCAGTTAGAAGTATTACCACTAACTAATCTATTCATTCACAGTAAAGTTAGGTGACTAAGAAGACAAAACAGCTTAATCGTACTCACTGTTGGGTGTTAAGAGTCAGTACTGATAGGAATGCCTAAATCAAAGTATTATGCTCGTGATTTCTCGTCACCAGATTATATACCAGAAGTTTTGCGTCAGTCACAGCCAACGCGTCTGTGATTACTATTCAGCTTCACGGCTTACTCTTTGACACCAATTTGATCACATAACACTTTTCCATGTTTTCGTAAATTATGATGTTGCAACTCAGCATAAAAAGATAATTGTATGCTCTTGTTGACCTCTGTAACTTGATCATTTTCCAATAAAACTTATCTGTACAGAGCCAAGTTAAACTTTAGGCACCAATAACTACCAGTGGAGTGCTTCACGCACCAATGTGACCTTGAAATGCTTACTGACCAAGTTAGTTAGCGAAATCTAGCAAATAATGTTGTCATGATCAATCAGCAAAAATACGCTCATTGAAGTGTTATGCTATCAAAAAATGGGATATCTGGCAAGTTTCAGCTTAGGTTTGGGAAAGATGTTTAGGCCAAGAACAAGTAAGGGTTAAGTTAACCTAATAAAAGGCGACAGTAGGTTTGCTTCGAGTTAGATTACAGTGTTACTTTAGGGATATTTTCACGTCAGAGTCAGTTTCAGGAAAGATTAGGGTTACTGTTAGGGTTAGACGACTTAAATAATTATATGCAGAGAATGTGGTTAAATTACTTTATTGATTTAACAATAGAACTTGCTCACTTCAGTAGGGTATAATTCCATTGTGGGTAAAATTTATTTTGATAAAGTCTCACAGTGTTATACTGTAGTATTTACTGACAGCGATGTTTCGAGGACAATTTATTGCACAGTAAATATTGCTGTATAACACTATGAGACTTTTTCAAAATACAGTTTACCCATAGTGGAATTATACTCTGCTGATACTCCAACCTAAAACTGAGAGTTGTTTTTATCACATGTAAGAGGGAGGTATCCTCCGTTACACCTTTTTACAGATTTTTATGCATGTTTTTTTTCATAAATATATGCATTCGATACACAGAAATGCTTCCTTCGTGTGATTGGTGCGTTCAAGGTCATTCCCTGTGATTGGTGGTAGTTAGTGGTGCCTAAAATTTTACTTTGCCCTGTAGAAATGTAGTTATCTCAACGATTTCCTTATTTTAGGCCATACCATTAATTTGAAAAAAGAACTCAGAACAAGTACTTCAGCAAATAGGCTCTTTATGACCAATTCATCTTCTTTATGCGCAATTTTTTTCACAGAAGAAGACAGTATCAAAAGTGATAGGCCTTCATAATTATAGTTGTTGATATTATTCAACACATAAAATTAGTTGGATAAGGGTGCTAGATTTATGTATTAGGATGAATAATTTTAAGATTGAGTTGTAATTAGAATGCACATAGGGAGAGAGAGAGGAAAATGTGAAATTATGTTAGAATTCGGAAGATATACAAGAGTTATGGAGAGTTAAAGAATAAAACAAAAAACCAAATTTAGGTTCTCAATAGTTTGGTTTGTAAGGGTTAATTTTGTTTTTACGAAATGATCACGGATTGAAATCAGTTAGAGAACCATTGAAAACCAACAAGGAGTACTGGACAGCTGCTGTTTCCTCCTAGTTTGGGAATCATCGGAAGTACGCATCTGCTGCCAGGGTTCGAATCCAGGACCTTCCGGTTATAAAGCAAACTGCCTCGTATACCATTCAGCCACTGGGACCCAACTTTTCAATGGCCAGCCCATGAATTCTAACTTCTGTCAATTCATGACTTAGTGTGACCACAACCATTGTCATAGGTGGGACATCCAGCCTCATAGGTGACATCTGGATGAACCTCACTGGTCACGACTTCTGACTGAAACTCCAGGAAACTCCATCCTGTAGCAACTTACTAGCCAGCATCGGAAAATTAATCTGGGATCGTGCTAAATCACGAATTTGAAGAAGTTAGAATTCATGTGCTGGTCATTAAATTGGGTCCCAGTGGCTGAATAGTATACTAGTCAGCTTGCCGTGTAACCAGAAGGTCTTGGATTCGGACCCTGGTGGCGGGTGCGTATTTCCGATGATTCCCAAACTAGGATGAAACAGAAGCTGTCCAGTACTCCAAGGCTGGTTTTCAATGATTCTCTAACTGATATCTATCCATGATCAACTCGTAAAATTTAGGTTAGCAGAAAACATCCGGGTTGTTACCATGATAGTAGATGTAGTAGTGTTGCGTGTGCTATTGATAAGATTTATCGGTAGTATATAAAGGAACGTTCGTCAGTATAAAAAACATCAAATAGCAGGGAGATAGACTTGATGTTAGAGGCAGCAAATAATACAGAGTTGAGTAAAAACACCGGATAAGTGAAAGGGACACCAAGAACCACACTATATGAAGGAAAGTGAGAAGTAGGACAACACGGAAGATCTGTGTAAATGGTGACTTGAAGTTAAGGTGTACATAATTTAACTACAAAGAGATACCAAGTCTAAAGTTGGTCTTCTACAGTTGCAGTGGGACAGATTTCTTTTGTATGCGGAATTTTAGTTTCTCTGTTTGAATGATTACAGTTTGAGAAATGCAAACAAGACGAGAGCATATTGTCTTTAACAGGTTGTTCTTCACTTTGTAGGGTATTAGGAAGGTGGACTTCAATGAAATATAATGACCAGTGTCGACAAGGTTTTCACTTTTTGAACTCCTTATAGTATTACTGTTACCATTCTTCAACCATGTGGAACAGTGTTCTTGAACCCTTTTACACAAGATATGCGTCAAACGGCAAATATTCTTAGGTCCACAGGAACAGATGAATTAATAAATGAGCACAAAAGTGGTGTAATATGCGATATCTTGTCATCCACACTTCAGTAGACAGTTGAACGACTGCAGTAAAATACTCTTAGCATTGATGCAAAGAATGTTCTCCACAAAGATGGTGATATTCTTATCTTAAGGACATCTCAATTTAAGTTCCCCTTAAAGTCAGGGTTCACGGGAAGTCTCTTTTTTTATAAATGATAATGTTTTACCGGTAAGATTAAGCTTCTCGCATATCTGGTTCCTTTGATAAATTTCGATAAAGAAAAGAGGACGAAATTTGCAGGATATAATGATATCATTCTATTTCACAGGTTCTCATCAGCTACAGACTACCTGAAATTACAATGGTTATGTAGACGATAATGACATACTTCAATGTTTAAGTGGAAGCAGAGAAGAGATACTATAAACTTGACTCATCCAAAATGTAAGCAGCATTACAATTTTTAGTTTAGCTTTTCATCATCAATTTTACGCTTTCAAAGGATAAAAGAGGAATCAAGGGTAAGACAGAAAACAGAAAAAATTAACAAACAGTTTTAGCTTGTAGGTTCACATAACAACTCAGAAAATAAAAGTGGTTACAGCTTATAAGACTGAGATTTGCTCAGTGAGTTGAGATCACTGAATCAGACTACTTATCGATATAATCAAAATCGAAATTCAGTTACGAATGGAGTAAGAGACTATTCATACTCTCTTTGGGTATGTATAAGTCTGGTATGAATCCTTTGATTGTGATCGCTTCGGCAAATCGTAGTAAATTTACTGTCCTTTGTCTATTTATTATTTTTGAAGGATTTAGAAATCTCTACGAGATGACCAGTATCAACAATATTTCTGGTAACTGCACTCTGAGAATATTTGCTTCCTTTCATGCACAGGTTTCTTGGAATATATTCAGAAAACCGGATAGAAGCCCTTCTTTCTGTCTTTCCAATGTACTTGCTCCAGCAAGTGCACGTAGATTCAAAAAGGCAGTTGGATATGACATCTGCAGGGTATTTATCCAGTTTTGAGTGGATTATAGAAGGAGTGGTGCTGTGCATTATTATGAGTTTAGCTGTACCTTTCAGCCTTTTGTCAATCTTTTGTAACACTGCATCTACCTTGAATGGGAGACAAATAAACACTTTCTTCTTTTCTATAGTTGGGTGTTTTTCTTTCTTGTCTTTTTCTCTGCTATACGTTTGTATAAATCCCTTAGGGTATCCATTTCCTCTTAGACATTTCAAAAAAAAACCTTATTCTTCTTCGACGTTGTTTGGTGAACATGGCTCTGTCGTACAAAGTCCTCAATAATACACGTTTATAGCTTATAGGACAAAAGCTGTTACAGTGAAGATATTGCCCAGTCCAGGTTTCTTTTCTATAGATGGACTTTCCGATCATGCCTTCGTTCGTTCTTTTTACATTTAGATCCAAGAAATCGAACTTATTATGTTCATATTCCATGGCTAGTTTAATGTTTGGATGGGTCTCATCTAGGCGATCATTTAGTGCCGATGCATGATCCATGTCGTTGCAAACAACAAATGTGTCATCAACATATCGATGATAGTAGGTTGTTTCACTGAAAGCAAAACTCAATTGTGTCTGTTCGACATAGCCCATGAAGATATCAGCCATAATAGGTCCTAGAGGCGAAAAAATCGCTTCCACATCAATTTTTCGGTAAAGTTGGTTGTTAAATTTGAATTGTATATCTTTTGTGTAAAGCAGCAGTAATCGCTTCATATCTATATAACCATTGTAATTTCAGGTAGTCTGCAGCTGATGAGAACTTGTGAAATAGAATGACGATATTATTTTATACTACAAATTTCGTCGTCCTTTCTTTATCCCAAATCCTTGAGTTAATACTGCATAATTTTTATCATTACTTTTTTGCATTGTTATTTTGTTTTTAGTGTCATCTTGTTAAACTACTCAAAACTGAAGAAACTAAACTACATGCATTAAAAAATGGTTGTATATCTAACAGACTTCATAACCAATCATCTGGTTCCTATATAGACTATCGTAATCTTAATATACAATGGATTGAAAATCCTGACGGTGATTTCAGTGTGAAAGGCTTCTCATTACATCCGCCTATTCCACAGCCTAGAGGACAAAAACGTTAGTACAAGTGTTGCCGTCAGTCTATGATATATCTCCATTATGTTATTCTTGTTATAGTGTATCCTCCAAGTATTTGCACTCGCCTGTATATTTCTGCACACACACAAGTTGACTGTATATCCTTAAAATACGCACTGAATGACTGACTGCCTTACAAGCTGGTTTCCCTGGGAGACAATATAATTTAATGCTGCTATTAAACTTACTCAAATCAACTCAAATTCATGATCTTAACACGAAGAGGAAACAAATATATATATAGGCATAACCTTATTAAAAATTCAGAGAATTTGAGTCATTTATCATATTTCCAATTCTTTACTACATTCAATTTAAATAAAATACAATAAAGACCAAAATAATTATAATATAACTAATAACGAACGTCATTATTGTCACCAAGTTTATATTTCCTGCTTAAAAAATTGAATATTGAATTTTCGCTGATGTACACAATTTAATTATGTTTAAAATAACCTTGTTAATCTATTTTATTTTTTTGTCAAATTCCTTGTACAAAAAATTAATGAATAATGATAACATTATTTTTCTTTTGACTATAATTAATATATTTATTTCTTTATATGTAATATATTGAATGACAATGTCGAATAATAATGCATTTAATAAATTCGTAATTAAACACCAAAGTTTTTTAGTATGAGATAAGAGCTATCTCAAGGTGCCTTCACCCCTTAAAGTAGTGAACATCCTGACAGATACAGGATATCATGAACTGACATCGGTTACAGAATCGCTGAAAAGCCTGAGAGTACCGGACAGATATTTCGTCCTAGTTTAGGACTCTTCAACAACACGCACCCACTTTCAGGGTTTGAACCCACGACCTTCTGGATACAACGCGAGTATGTAGACTATTAAGCCACTGGGACCTGATCCAACAGCCAATGAGTTCAAACACTCACCTATGCCGTTGGTTGGTGGTCGCGATATATCGTGAATTAGGCCAGTGGCCTAACAGTCTACGAGCTCGCCTTGTAACCAGAAGAAGGTCCTAAGTTCTAACCCTGGCACTGGTTGAGTGCTGCTGAGGAGTCCGAAACCAGATTGAAGCAGCTATCCAATACTCCCGGCTAGTATTACAATGTTTCTCTAACCAAAGTTAGCTTATGATGATATCCTATGACCAACACCTGAACTCAACGACTGTCTTATGTTTCTCCAGTTGTTTTTTTCGTCTAAATGTATTTTTCTCAGGAAGTAATCACATTTTATAGCGTGTATTTTTGGAAACTTTCCACTTATGGCTAAAATGAATACTGTGATATCGACAGAAGTAGACACATGGTGTTCTCAAATAACGATCAAGTAAATATCAGCTTTATTTACTGCCTACTCAATATTTATTTTAAAAAATTACAGCACGTACTCTTCTCTTTATCAGTAAACTATTTCAAATGCATATTTTCAACTACTCTATATGCAAGCTTCAATTCAATGAATTAATTTTTTTGTTAAGAGCCTATCGATTTTCCACAAAAAACTGGAAGATATGCAAGTGAACAGCGACAAGTTGGCACAACAAGCATAAAAGATAGGACTTCAGGTGAACATAGAGAAAACAGAGGTGATGAAGATTTCTGGCCATCAACAACACCAACGGCAACAACAACAGACAACAATCAGCATAAATGAGGGAAACCTGAAAGAAACAACCTCCTTTACCTACCTCAGAAGTACCGTTTCAACTACAGGCGGAACTGACGAGGATACTAAAGTAAGGATCGGGAAAGCAAGAGAAGCTTCCATTACTCTCATGTCTCTGTGCAGGTCAACAGCATTCAACATGACAATGAAAATAAGATCCGTATTTTCAACTCCAATGTGAAGTCAGTGCTACTTACTACACGGATCAGAGACTTGGCGTGTCATGAAGAGCACCTCGAACAAACTACAGGCCTTCATCAACAGTTGTCTTCGCTCAATGCTCAAGATCAGATAGCTGACCAGAAAAGATCAGGAATTGGGATCTCTGAGGGTGAACCAACTCAGCAGGAACCGATTGTGCAACAACTATTTAGGAACAAATTGATGTGGATTGGCCATACTCTGAGGAAACCATCAAGTGACATCACAAGACAAGACATTGCTCGAGTGAAACCTGACAGAAAGGGAAGTGTTGAGTTGGTCGTCAGTGCAAGGGTGACTTGGAGGAGGTCATGTGAAGAGGAGATGAAAGCATGTGGGCAGACTTGGGGCCACATGAAAACCTTAGCAGAGAACCGAACGCAATGGAGACATGCAGCTGAAGCCCTATGTTCCTCTAGGAATTATAGGAAATAATAATAATTTTTATGAGCCTGTCGCCAATTTGTTATATCGACGCTGATAGATGATATGACCGAGTGGAGTGTTGCGTGGGTATAATAATGATGACGCAATGGACAACTCAACTCATATACGCCTACTCGTCCATGGCACCTTACGCTTCACTGGGCCACGTAAATATCAAAAGACGAAGACTAGTCCATGACTATTAGGAAGAACACATTATAGATTTATACATTTTCTAACCATCTCATACATAATTGGCCGAAGATAATGGAAATACTTTTTTTCTGATGAATTGCCAATTTGGCTAAGGTATGGGGAGAAATAGATGTATATTCTGATTGGTTGGCGATTTGACCAAGACCAAGGTGAGAAAAAAGCCATGAAAAAATGTTACAGTCATTCGATCACACGATGAATCACATGATTAGTCATAAGGTGATGTAACTATTTTGAGCTAAAACTATTTTCTGTCACATTTTTATGAGTAGAAATAACTTTTTTTTAAAAGGCATTTTACAGTAGATATATAAGGTTAATTTAACGCAAAATTCATTCATTTCAGAAGGTATGTATAAAAAGAATAGCTGTAATATATATATATTATATATGAGAGAGAGAAAAGAACAAGAGGTTCAGTGAGGTTATCTTTTCGACACAGTTTCATCCTTAAAGCAGCTACACACACACACTTCACGCATAAATTCACACATTTACAAGTATCATCATTTAATTCAATATCAGTATTAATTCCTTTAATTCCTACAGGAACATACGGCCTCAGCCTCACGTCTCCATTGAGTTTGGTTCTCTGCTAACGTTTCCACCTGGATTCAGGTCTGCCCCCAATGCTTTCATCTTCTCTTCACATGACCTCCTCTATGTCACCCTCGCATTGAAGGCCAACTCGCCACTTCCCTTTCTGTCGGGTTCCACTCGAGCGATGGCTTGTCTTGTGATGTCGCTTGATGATTTGTTTCCTCAGAGTGTGGCGAATCCACTTCCATTTCTTCCTGCTTATTTGTTGCACAATTGGTTCTTGCTGTGTTTGTTCGCTCCCAGAAATTTCTGTTGCTGATCTTTTCTGGCCGGCCATCTGATCTTGAGTATTGAGCGAAGGCAGCTGTTGATGAAGGTCTGTAGTTTGTTCGAGGTGCTCTTCATGACACACCAAGTCTCTGATCCGTGTAGTAAGTAGCACTGACTTCACATTGGAGTTGAAAATACGGATCTTATTTTCATTGTCATGTTGAGCACTGTTGGCCTCCACACAGACTTAAGAGTAACGAAAGCTTCTCTTGCTTTCCCGATCCTTGCTTTGATATCCTCATCAGTTCCGTCTGCGTGTACTTGAAACGATGCTTCCCAGGTAAGTAGGTAGGTAAAGGAGGTTGTTTCTTTCAGGTTTCCCTCATTTATGTTGATTGTTGTCTGTTGTTGTTGCTCTGGCTGTTGGTGTTGACCAGGAATCTGTATCACTTTTGATGTGGTTTTGTTCTCTGAGCTGGATAGTTAGTTTGCGAAGCTTTCATCACCTTACTGGGTGACATCTTCAGCGCATACTTCAAATTGAAGTGAGCTTTTAGGTTTCTCCACGAGTTTATTAATCATTCCTCCTGGTGACCTTGGACGTGATTGGTTGTTTATGTATGTTTTCACACCTTCTAGGTTACTTGTGTTGGAACTGATTGTTTCTGTGACTTGAACTTTGGCCAATCGTGTGTGAAGTTTCTTTCTTATTGGTTGATAAATTTTGTCTATCTCGATGTGTCTATTGATTGATGATTCACTGGAATGCCAAGCTTCTAAAAATTCTCTAGCATTCTTGTTATTTCCTTTGTCTAATATTTGAACGTTGTCCCAGTCGAATTGATGTCCGTGGTTGTCTGTGTGTAGTGAAATGAGGGAGTGTATATCATGTCTTTTGACGGCTAGCTTATGTTCGTGGATACGAAGACGAAGGGGACGTCCACTTTGGCCAATGTAGTGTTTTTCACAGTTGTTACAGTTTATTTTGTAGATGATGTTGGTTTTGTCTTCTTTTGCTGTTGAGTCTTTTGGTTGACATAGAATTGAGTGCAGCGACTTTGTTGGTTTGTGTACGACGTCAATTCCTAAAGGTTTGAAGAGTCTTTTAGTGATTTCTGAGATATCCTTTATATATGGTAAGGCGATTTTCTTTGTGTTTTCCTTGGTGGCTTTTGTTTTGGTAGGTTGGCTTGGGGGTATATGTCTCTTGATGAAATTCCGGGGATATCCATTCTTTTGGAAGACGTCCATGAGATACTTTTCTTCAATTTTTCTTAAGGTGGGAGTGCTGCAGTGAGTCCTTGCTCTCTTGAATAGTGTTTGTATGCAGTTCCTTTTGTGTGCTATTGGGTTGTTGCTGTTGTAATTCAGTATTTGGTCTGTGTGAGTTGATTTCCTATAAACTTGAGTTTCTAATTCTCCTGTAGTTGTTCGCCTGACTAAGACGTCCAAAAATGGTATTTTGTTCTCGGATTCCTCTTCTCTTGTGAATTTGATGTCGTTGAAGACGTTGTTTATTAAGTTGTGAGTTTTGTCTAATTCGTTTCTTTTGATTATTACAAATGTGTCGTCGACGTAGCGTATCCAAATCTTGGGTTTGATCTTTGGTAGAATTATGTTTTCGAGTCTTTGCATCACTGCTTCTGCAATCAAACCTGATATTGGCGATCCCATGGGTGTT